GTAAGTTTGGAGAGTGAAAAGGAAATTTTGTAGAGATTGTACCAAATAATAAAAAACTCCAGGTCTTTTTTCTTTTTTTCCTGCAGAATTCCTTGACCAACTGTTCTTCCCATAGCGACCTTTTCTTCACCACAAATGTTGCGTCAGGTTCTTAGGATTCGAAAAATAACACCTGCTGCTGGCAAGTGATGCCAGCATCTGTTAAGTGCCTCGACCAGGATCTGTCCTGTCTGAAGGACAGCAAGTGGCTTTGATCCCCAGTGTTCCAATTAGATCCTTAATTCACCTCAGAAGAAAGGAACCCTTCATGCTGTTGCTTTTTACTGAAACACTCCCTTACAGATTCATCTGAATGAATCCTCCACAACTTTCAGGACCCAGATCGGGTTTTATCTTCTCCAGGAAGCCTTTTCTCTCCCACTTTGTAAAAGCATCCATCCTTAAACCTGTGTTTCCTTGCTGCGAGAAGCCCTGGCCCTTCTGCCCTTGATCCAGCATGGTGTTTGGATGTGTTGTTTAGTTATTTCTCGTGGATTGGTCTTGGAGTCAGCACTGTCTTCTCCAGCTCTTCTTCCTGCAGGAAGTACAGTGCTCCCACCTGGGCGGGCGGGCTGATGGCTGGCATTCTTAAAGTGGCCAGCATGTTAGAACAGATGAGAACTGAAGGTGGACTCCATTCTCAGGGCGTGTAGGCAGGACACTGTCCAGCTCCAGGCAACACCGGCCACACAGGCCAGGATGTGAATGTTGTTCGCCTGGTTGTACGACCTGCCTGTCCCCTGGGTCTCCAAGTGGTTGGTGTGTATGCTTACTGCCTTATATTAGCTCTTCTAGAAACTCTTTCTTGCCTCCTTCCTTTCATATCTTTGGTCTATTTCAATCCAGAGTTTTAAACCTTTCTATAACCCATTAGGACAATGTTTTTCAAAATGAGGTTCTGGACCCTTAAATTAGAAAATCATGGTGATGGTTTAGTCACTAAGTTGTGTCTGACTCTGCAACCCCAGGGACTATAGCCCGCCAGGCTTCTCTGTCCATGGAATTTCCCAGGCAAGAATACTGGGTTGCCATTTCCTTCTCCAGGGGACCTTCCTGACCCAGGTATCAAACCCAGGGTCTGTATTGTAGGCAGATTCTTTACTGCTGAGCTACTAGGGAAGTCCTAGAAAAATGTAGGATGTTGATTATAATGCAGCTTCTTTAGTGCACTTATATCAGCCTAGACAAGGGGCTGAAGACTTCTATAAGCAAGACTGACAATTCTTATGTGTGTGTGTGTGTGGGGGGGGTCAATCCCTAAGTCATGTCCAATTTATTATGACCCCATAGACTACAGCCCACCAGGCTCTTCTGTCAATAGGCTTATCCAGGCAAGAATACTGGAGTGGGTTGCCATTTCCTTCTGTAGCAGATTTTCCTAGACCAGGGATTGAACCCACATCTCCTCCATTGGCAGGCAGATTCTTTATCACTGAGCCACCAGGGAAGCCCAGTTAACAATCCTTATGCACTTCACTAAAATCTTAGGAAATGATTGATGAAGTGACTTCAGTAGTGTAGAAACTGAAGTGCCTCAAAAGGTTAATACTGTCCTCAACCTGTTACACTGTTTTATTAATTCAGTTAAATTCAGCCACAACTTAGTGAGTATTTATTTGCTCTATGCCTACCATTGTGCAGGCATGGGGTAGAACCAGATGGGAAAAATATAGCTTTTGTTAATAATCTATGTAGAAAGGTGCTAATAATCTATGTAGAAAGAAAAGATATACGACAAAGATATATTCACACAGACCTAACTGCATACTTATGCATACTCTATAGACATATCTTTTTGAAAACACATCAGTAGTTCAGATATGTAGTATAGACATTTTGTAGAGATAACATGTCTCAGAGATCACATGTAGCTCTAAACTTCAGAGGGATGAGATTTCAATTCTTCAGGCAGACATTTGCATAAATGAGACAGACTCCGACAGAGTAGTGGAGAAAGCTCTGTACTTGGGGTTCAAAGTTCACAGTTTTGAATTCAAGTCAGAACTCTAGTAAGCAGTAAAGGATAGTTCCTTATAGGAAAAATAAGATTGTTGATTAGAGTGAGATGCATTTTATTTATTTATTTTATTTTTTAATTGAAGGATAATTGCTTTACAGAATTTTGTTTTCTGTCAAACATCAACATGAATCAGCCATAGGTGCACATGTTATGGAGAGAGGAACATTGGAAACTTCACATTGCCATATGTAAAATAGACAGCCGATGGGAATTTGCTATAAGTCTCAGGGAACTCAAATAGGGGTTCTGTATCAACTTAGAGGATTGGGTGGAGAGGGAGATGGAAGGGCGGCTCAAAAGGGAGGAGACATAGGAGATGCATTTTAAACTCATTTACTAGGTTTTGAGTAACCTAAATTTATTATATTTTATACTTCTATAGTATATGGAAAATTCTGAAAAAGATGGTAATACCAGACTACCTGAGCTGCCTCTTGAGAAACCTGTATGCAGGTCAGGAAGCAACAGTTAGAACTGGACACGGAACAACAGACTGGTTCCAAATAGGAAAAGGAGTACATCAAGGCTGTATATTGTCACCCTGCTTATTTAACTTATATGCAGAGTACATCATGAAAAACGCTGGGCTGTAAGAAGCACAAGCTGGAATCAATGCCGGGAGAAATATCAGTAACCTCAGATATGCAGATGACACCACCCTTATGGCAGAGAGTGAAGAGGAACTAAAAAGCCTCTTGATGAAAGTGAAAGAGGAGAGTGAAAAAGTTGGCTTAAAGCTCAACATTCAGAAAACTAAGATCGTGGCATCTCATCCCATCACTTCATGGGAAATAGATGGAGAAACATTGTCAGACTTTATTTTTGGGGGCTCCAAAGTCACTGCAGATGGTGATTAGAGCCATGAAATTAAAAGATGCTTACTCCTTGGAAGGAAAGTTAGGACCAACCTAGATAGCATATTAAAAAGCAGATATTACTTTGCCAACAAAGGTCCGTCTAGTCAAGGCTATGGTTTTCCAGTAGTCATGTATGGATGTGAGGGTTGGACTATGAAGAAAGCTGAGCACCTAGCATTTAATTTGCATATGTTTAACCTGAAACACATTTTTGCTACATTTAACTGATTTGACTATCCAGCTGATACACCCTTTTTATAAGATGCCTACTTTTGTAAATGTCTCTCATCTTGCTGGTGCTGGCAGGAGATACGGAGGGTAATTTTCCTCATCACTGCCGGGGAAGTTCCTGTTGCTCACTTGATGGACAGGGAAGCCTGGCGTGCTGCAGTCCATGGGGTCACAACGAGTCAGACACGACCGAGAAACTGAACTGACTGAATGGAGGATCTTCCTCGACAAGGGATCATACCCATGTCTCTGCATTTGCAGGCAGATTCTTTACTACTGAGCCACCGGTGGCTCAATTCTTAAATCTCAATTCTAGTTTCACTTCATTTTCTTATGTCTTGGCTCTCTCTCTTTTCCTCTCTCTCTCTCTTTTTTTCCTTCCTAAAGTAGAGAAACGGAATACATGTAAAGAAATTGAGGGTTACACTTAAAAAGTTTTTATTTTATTGTCCTCATCAGGGCCAGCCTGAGGTTTTCTGCCATCTTTTATAAAATTTATGCCTGGCATAATTCTGATTTTTACTGCCGCCTCCATGCAAATACACACCCAACCTTATGCTGATGGCAGCACTACTGTTTCTTCATGGCAAGACTTAAAAACTCTCTGGAAACTTTAAAAGCATGGAATAAAAACTTGTGGGTGTAAGGGGGGTGGGAAGTAGGAAATTTGGGGGAATCAGTGGAAATACATGCCAAAGTTTTTGGCACCCTTTAGAAAACTAAAGAATTTACTTCGTTTTTTTTCTTTTTTAAAATAGGTGCAAAGGGGAAAAAAAACAAGGTCGCAGGCACAGTTTGCCAATAAAAGTGAGCAGGTTTGGTAGATATATTTAAAGATGTGAAGGCCAGGACAAATCCAGTTATGTTGTTTGTGTCCCTGTGCCCTCCAAGCATACACTCTTGTTGGAAGGCGGGGAGGCTCGTAAATAAAAACAGGAAGCTTTAGAAAAGGTGGGTTTTTTTGGTATCATTTTTCTGTTCTCTGCCAGTCTTCTCACAGTTTTGTCTTTAAGTTTTTTATTTATACGTGTTTGCTGCTCACTTTTGTCTAACTTTTTGCTACCCCATGGATTGTAGCCTGCCAGGCTCTTCTGTCCATGGAATTCTCCAGGCAAAAATATTGGAGTAGGCTGCCATTTCCTTCTCCTGACCCAGGGATTGAACCTGGGTCTCCTGCATTGCAGGCAGATTTTTTTAGTCTGAGCTACTGGGAAAACCCCATAGTAGAGGCTAAGAAGAAGGGGGAGAATCAGTATGTGTCAAGCCAGAGAGTTCAGGATAAAGGTAAAGGATTGGACTGTTGGCTCTTTTTTCCCATTGCCTTAAGTGTGGCCTGATGAACAGTGGAACGTTTTAAAACTCTTCAAGCCTTAATGCTGTTGAATATATGCTTGAAGGTTTATATCTGATTTCTAAGTCCTCAAAAACATTTTAACAGCTTGATAAGGAGGGCTATATTTAAGAGTTGTACCATGTTCTCAGTGTTTCTTTGTGAATATGTGTGCTTCCTGCCATGGAAGACTGATTTATATTTTCTGTGCCTAGAAAATAATAATTGTTGAAACAAAACAGATGATGATACAAGATTTAGCTTATTAATGCTGGCCTGCCGCTGCCTTTAGGCCTTTTTGTGTTTGTGTGACGTCTTGATTTTTTCTGTTTTATTGGATGGGATTGTTTACTTCCACTTTGTTAGACTCCTACATCTGTTTTTGCCATGACTTTAAAATCTGTGTTTTTGAAGCAGAGTTACTTTTTTATGAAGAACGTAGCAGTATACATTTGATAACAGGTTTTAGAAGGAAGTACCTGATTTGCTTTGTTTTAATCAACCTTTCTTTTTCTCTCTTCAGAGGATGTTAAGCAAGTTTTTGGACAGACCACAATTCATCAACATATTCCATTTAACTGGGATTCAGAATTTGTGCAACTACACTTTGGGAAAGAAAGAAAAAGACACCTGACCTATGCAGAGTTCACTCAGTTTTTACTGGTGAGTCTAGCTCTTGCAAAAATTTAAAAAGAGTGAATGAATAAATAAAACTAGGATCCCAATCCAAATTTGCTAACCCTGGCCAAACCATCCTATTTGGAAGTATTTCTTCATTAGTATGTAGAAACTATAGGGTTAAACAGGCTCTGTACAACCATTTCATGCTTAATAGGGTTAAACAGGCTCTGTAGAACCATTTCATGCTTAAATGGAATACTCTCTGAGGACCCAGGGAATTAAGTGATGTGCTGAAAGGTTATATAAATCAGGAGAGGTGAATTAGAATCTGAACTCTGGGCTTATGACTGGTTCCACTACTGTGTCCGTGCTAAGTCACTCAGTTGTGTCTCTTTGTGACCCCATGGACCGTAGCCTGCCAGGCTCCTCTGTCCGTGGAATTCTCCAGGCAAGAATACTGGAGTGGGTTGCTATTTCCTTCTCCAGAGGATCTTCCCCACCGAGGGATTGAACCCGCATCTGTTACCTCTGCGTTGGCAGGCGAGTTTGACTTCTTGGCTTATGACTGGTTCCACTACTACTTACTAATAATTTTGTTATCCCTTGAGAAATGGACAGATGTCATCATCAGCATCTAACTGTAGAATTATTTGCCTTTTATGGACGAGACATTGGATCTAAAACTTGACTGCATATTGGGATCACCTGGGGAGTGTTAAGAGCTATTACTCTTTTGGTCCCCCACCTCCAGAGGTTAGATTCTGTGTGTGAGGTGTGTGTTTGTGTTTGTGGTGAAGGGCAGAGAGGGCCTGCTTGGCCCTTGGAGTCTTCGGAGGCACTTCTGTTGTGCAGCCAAGTGTGAGAAATGCTGATCCAGGGCACATGCTATCCAAGCTGGGCTTCAGCTCTGCGGGAGTTGTCTGCATCTCTGGCACGCCCCTCAGTCCAATCCCTCCTGCCTTTCTCTCCTCACTTCCCCCTTTGGGATAATTTCACTGGGCCACTGATGATGCTAACAGAAGACTCATGACAAAATATGACCACCGTTTAGTTTTCCTCCCAAAGCGTAAGATGGTGTTAATTCTGATATTGTTTAGTCACTAGAGATCAATATCTGTATAATATGTAGGTCTGTGTGATAAACCAGTCTTTAAGATTTTTATGCGTTTGTTTTGTTTCACTAACAATTTTATTTGTATATCATTAAATATTGACATAACGTTTAAAAGACTTGTTTAAAAGAATTGGTTTGCTGTGTTTTAATTCTGGGTCCTCAGGAAAAATTTGCCAAGAAGATCATCTTTTTCTTTTTTTAATTGAAGTGTAGTTAATGTACAGTGTTAGATTAGTTTTAGGTGTACTGTATAGTGGTTTTACATTTGCATACCTTATGAAATGGCCACCATGATAAGTCTAGTAACATGTAGTTACATGTAGTAACAGAGTTATTACAGTGTTGACCGTAACCCTCATGTTGCATGTGACATTGTCATGGCTTATCAGTTTTTATTACTGGAGGTTTACAGCTCTCTTACTTTCCACCACCTATTTCATCCCACCCACCCCCATCCACCTCCTCAGGCCACCTTCTCTTCTTTGTTATTAGTAACATTGGCAGTGGGGCTGGCAGTGGGTTTCTTGTTATCTGGTTCCTTTGAGCCTGAGACCTTGCAGGAATCACGAGGAGTGGTTGGTGGAGGCCCCAGGGCACACGTAACCAGTCAGTCAGCATTTTGTGGTCTCCATTCTTAGGCACCAGCATTTGTAACTGGCTGACTTTCATAGGTGCTTTCTCTTTTTGACTTTTACATGTATCATTATAATATATAGAATTTGTTACACTTTTTAGTTTGCTTTTATTTTCCCGGCCTCTGAAAATGTTAAACAAGATTTAGTAAACACGGCTTTGTATTTTTTTAAAAAACATGTTAGTATCTATGAATTCCTGTTTGCAGTTCTGTGTAAACATAAGCCTGCTTAAGTAACTCAGGTGGAGATGGCCTGTGAGTTGTTAGGTTTGTGCTGTTGTTTACACAAGACATCATGCGCAGTAGGAGGTGGTATTCATTTTGATGAGGAATAATTGTGATAATGCTATTGAGACAAATGCTTCCAATTGACTTTATGGAATACAGCCTAATTAACTTTTAGGCTTAATGGGATGTTAGCAATAGTAAGGATGATCACCTTTCCCTTTAAGCAAGTATCAATTATGTGGACTCATGAGTCAGCTATAAGCCACCCAGATTCTTCTGGGCCTTCCTTGAGATATGGACGAGCCAGAGGCAAAGATGAGGTGATCAGGGGTTACTGACTAGGTTTCCAGCTGCAGCTCGCAGGCATTCACTCATGTCCGACTCCGTTCTCTACGTAATGGTGAATGCACTCATCCCTCTGTGTCCTTCCTGGGATGATTTTGACTTCGTAGCAAGATTACAAGTGCTAAACTCTCGCTAGGTTAAGATGGTTTAGGTAGATAATTCGGGCCTTGCTTTTGTATTCCACTCCAGGCCCAGATTTCAAAGAATTAATGTGTGTGTCATGATAGACTTGATATAAATGCAGTGCATTACCAGCTTTGATGCCTGCCGTTGGGTCGCTCTCCCACTGCCCCCACTCAGATGCTTCCTTTGAAGTCTTTTCTGAATGACCTCAACTTTAAATACTTTGTTTGTTCTTTTGGACTCTTTTCTGGCTTAAGGGAACTACTTAAAGAAGTAAGTGACCTTTGGGACTCTTGCTGTGTTAAGCATGGTGCCTGCCTTTCTGCTCTGGGGCAGGTTATAGAAACACAGGCACCAGCTCCCTGGCTGGTGCCCGGGTCTTGAAAGAACTGCCACCGTGCATGCCCCTGCTTGTCACCTGAGGAGGAAGAGGAGCAACTATGGGGTCAGCCGAGAGGTGCTTGTGGCTTCAAGGAGCCTGGAGGTCCGAGACAGTAGCTTGGATTGGTTTCAGCTAACGCAGCCTCGCGCTCTGGTGTGTTACCTGTGCTCATATATGTGCTTGTGTTTGTGCCCAGTGGACAGTGCTGTTCTTCGCAAGGTCAGTTATGTTCCCCCTTCATTTAAAAAATATTTTACCATGCGGAAGCAGGTGTGAGTTTGTTACTGAGGACTCCATGCGTTCACATGCTCACCCAGGTGTTGTCTGAGGTGGTGCTGGTCACGGGCATGGGTTGAATGCTGAGCTGGCATGTTGTTTTCCGTCATAAAGGGGTGAATCAGTTTGAGAAACTGTGAACTAAATTTGCCTTGTTTGTTCAGTTCTGTTGCTCAGTCGTGTCCAACTCTTTGCGACCCCATGGACTGCAGCATGCTAGGCTTCCCTGTCCATCACCAGCTCCCGGAGCCTGCTCAAACTCAGATCCACTGAATCAGTGATGCCATCCAACCATCTCCTCCTCTGTCATCCCCTTCTCCTCCCACCTTCAATCTTTTCTTGTATCATTTAGATACAAAGTACATAGCCTCATTTGTACTTTGTATCTAAATGATAGCATTGAAACAAGTAGCAGAGATGCAAAGCCTCCTCCCTAGTCTTGTTCCTCAAGACAGGGGAGGATTTCAGAAGGGAGAGCTGTTACCCCATCCCTGAGACTGTTGCCTCCACTGCTACTGGTTTTGTATGCCTGGTTCTATCATCTCTAGTTAACTGCATGAGTGATGGTGTGTGTGTGTGAATGTGAGTATGGTTTTATTTATTTTTGGCTGCGCTGGGTCTTCGTTGCTTTGTGGGCTTTCTCTAGTTGCAGTGAGCGGGGACGCCTATCTAGTTGCAGTGTGCCGGCTTCTCATTGCTGTGGCTTCTCTTGTTATGGAGCACTGGCTTAAGGTGTGCAGGTTTCAGTAGACGCAGCACATAGGCTTAGTTGTCCATGGCATGTGGGATCTTCCTAGTCCAGGGATTGAACCTGTGTCCCCTGCATTATAAAGTGGATTCCTAACCACTGGAACAAGGGAAGCCTGTGAATATAGTTTTACATATGGGTATGTATGTGTGGATTTTAGAATAGTCTATATTCATTTCCAACATCTCTTTCCTGTCAGCTCTTAGGGCAAAGCTGTAATTTTATGATTATGAGTTGAAAAAAATGGATTTTAAATATACTGAAAGCATTCAACATCCATTTATGATTAAAACTCTCCAGAAAGCAGGAATAGAAGGAACATACCTCAACATAATAAAAGCTATATATGACAAACCCACAGCAAGCATTACCCTCAATGGTGAAAAATTGAAAGCATTTCCCCTAAAATCAGGAACAAGACAAGGGTGCCCACTCTCACCACTCCTATTCAACATAGTTTTGGAAGTGTTGGCCACAGCAATCAGGGCAGAAAAAGAAGTAAAAGGAATCCAGATAGGAAAAGAAGAAGTGAAACTCTCGCTGTTTGCAGATGACATGATCCTCTACATAGAAAACCCTAAAGACTCTACCAGAAAATTACTAGAGCTAATCAATGAATATAGTAAAGTGGCAGGATATAAAATTAACACACAGAAATCTCTTGCATTCCTATACACTAACAATGAGAAAACAGAAAGAGAAATTAAGGAAACAATACCATTCACCATTGCAACAAAAAGAATAAAATACTTAGGAGTATATCTACCTAAAGAAACAAAAGACTTATACATAGAAAACTATAAATCACTGATGAAAGAAATCAAAGAAGACACAAACAGATGGAGAAATATACCGTGTTCATGGATTGGAAGAATCAATATTGTCAAAATGGCTATACTACCCAAAGCAATCTATAGATTCAATGCAATCCCTGTCAAATTACCAACGGTATTTTTCACAGAACTAGAACAAATAATTTCACAATTTGTATGGAAATGCAAAAAACCTCAAATAGCCAAAGTAATCTTGAGAAAGAAGAATGGAACTGGAGGAATCAACCTGCCTGACTTCAGACTATACTACAAAGCCACAGTCATGAAGACAGTATGGTATTGGCACAAAGACAGAAATATAGATCAATGGAACAGAATAGAAAGCCCAGAGATAAATCCACGAACCTATGGTCGCATTA